TGAGGGGATCAAACGGCAACAATCTTCTTAATTTAAGCTCTCATTTTTTCTCCTTCAGTAAATATGCTACGGCTGGGGCAGTGGACCCCCTCAGCATTGCACGTAGCTCTGCCACTGATAACCGCTACTGTATCAGTTCTGGTAAAAAAAGACACTCTAACAGAGTAGTGTAGGGCCTCAAGTTGTCAGAATTTATGAAGTGTCCTTCATATCTGGCCCCCCCAGTCGCCATATTTAGTCTCTAGGAAAGCCCTGATGTTTTATTTTTCAAGTGGATCTCGCTTAACATTCACGAATATATTTAAAGTTCACGAATATTTTTAAGTTTATGTATATTTTAAAATTTCCTAACTTTATTCAAAATTATGAATATATTTTTGAAATGTATGATTTAAAAGACAACAATGGTTTCAAATTTACAAAAATTCAAAAATTTAAGATTTCTTTGAATATTTGTGAACATCTTCTGATTTAACAAACTTTTCAGATAAAAAAAGGTATCTGGCTTTTCATAAGCGAGCGAGTGGAGCAGGTTGTAAGCTGAGAAAGCGAGAGCTTCATGGGCCAACCCATGTGAAGTTATAGCAACAATTACATGGTTTCAGCGTGGAATAGAAGCTTCTAAGGTGATTAGAAAATGAGCTCCTCAGGGGCTCACACAACAATCCGAAACACGTAAAAACATCACAACCACGGTCGAGCAACTTCACTCTCTCATCAGAGCAAATACCGTCTCTAACAATGGTCAATCACAATATACAAACGAAAAAATATTATCAAAACATAACTAAAACTCAAGCCAACGCATGTAAAAGGAAATAAAACAACCGACCGCAACAATCTGCTAAAGAGGGGGGAAATGCCATTAGTAAAGAAGGGCACGGTGAAGCGCGCATTAGGCTCCGGTCAGGTATGAAAACAGAGAGAATACCGAACTAACCCCTTGACTCTAGGTCCCTCAAAGAAAATACCCGTGATTATGGAAATTCCATTTGGATTTGGACGGCCGTGTCAATGCAAGGACTATGGACGGTTTAAAAATAGACTTATTTGAGACCGGATTCACAGATCCTCATGCACCACATTCATTTTTCGAAGAACAAAAGGCTGATCAGCCAGAGTCAAAGAAAGCCTGATCACATTCACTTTCAAAGAACAAAAGGCTGATCATGCATCACTCTCATTTAATCGCCTGTCGCTGCGGAGAGATCGGACGCACCCTTAAATCAATCAGAATATGGTGCTGCACCTTGTCTGGCTGAAAACGTCAAACTAATCTTGTTGGGTGTCTTGAAAGCACTCCGTTGATGTCTAACTACTAAAAACCATATTCAAAAACCCTAAGGCATCATAATTGATTTTCGTCACTGGTGGGTGGGGCAAGCTGTTCTATTCTCTTTCTTTATTTTGCGGGTCAAGCTCTTCTATTCCTTTTTTTAGGGAAACCTCCAATTTATTCATCTTCAATTATGGTTGTACAACAAACAACAAAAATAATAAAAAATATATCTAGATCCGAAAACCATCTAGCGATGACTACAAACACTGAAGCGAGCCGAAGGCGAGCCGCCGTCAACGCCCCTCCCTCGCCGGAGCCGGGCAAAACTTGTTGTAGTACAGTGGGAAGTCATCGCGCTAAGGCCCCATAGGATCAACGCACCAGAACAACAACCTCCACCGTTAAAGAGTAGCATAGATTGAAAGGATCCAACCTAAAGACACACAAACGTAGACGAACTACAACTAAATCCGAGCAAATCCACCAAATACATATCCGCTGAAGACACATCTCCACACGACCACCAACTATGCTAGACGCACCACCACAACGCGGGCTAGGCAGAAGAACCTTATTTCATCCTGAGGGAGCCGCCGCCGTCTCGTCTTCCTGATCAGAACACAAATTCTAAACAGACACAAAAAAGACAACTAAAAAACAAAA